ATCTTGTTCAATGTGTTTCATGTCAACCAATTAAAGTTGATGAGATCCGTACTATCCGAAATTTCAGGGTCAAGCTGGGATAGACAAAATTCCCCAGAAAGTCGTGAAAAAGGTAGCTCTAAGAGGCCACAACATCAGTCAACGGGTGGAAAAGTAAGTCCTTTGTCTGGTTTATAACCTTTATTATCTTCACCATAACTTGAGAGGTGAGAGGTACTTTACTGTTGATTCTTTTTCCTTTAAGAACTTTCTTGCCATTGGTAGTAAAGGTGGAAACTGAACTTTGCAGGTCACAAGAGTTCAGTTTGTTCAAAGGAGATTGTAAACAATAGAGAGGGGAGTTGAGGGAGTTCTAGAAAAACTCTTTGAGTTGGTTTAAGGAAAGTAATAAGACTCTATTAGCATAGAAATATTGAAACTTCTTGCAAATGTCTTTTTTATATGTGGTTAGAGAATCAGCGAAAAAAGTCATATTTTGATTTTTAATATTATCTATTACTTGATCATTTGATATTATAGAAGTCTTTATTAAGAAACTTAGACTTTTGTGAATAAATTTTTTTAGAATATTCTTTTTAATTATCAATAATATTGTTGAAACACATGAATATGATCTATAGGAGTTTGTTTATATTTAAAAAACTAACATATTTTATATTAACCAATTACTTTTGATGAGAATTTGTGCTACTCAAAATTCTGGATCAAATTAAGGTAGACAAAATTCTTTAGAAAACTGTGAAAATAGAAATTCTAAGAGGATTAAAATAGTTAAAAAGAAAGAAAATAAGTCTTTTTATTTTAAAAAACCTTTATAAATCTCTTACTTTAAAAATTAGACAGATCTTTAGATACTTTATAGTCAGTTTTTCTTCCTTTGGAAACTTTCTTACCATTGATATTAAAGGTATTACTTGACTTTTTTTAGTCACTAGAAATCAAGTTTTTGAGTGAAAAGATTCATAAATAAAAGGAAAAGAGTAGTAATGACTCTTGAAGTCATATTTCAAGACTTTATTAGTAAAGAAATGTAAAAACTTCTTGTGAACATTTTTTTTATATGTAATTAGAGGATCAGTGAAAAAAATTTTTATTAAATATAATAATTATTTTTTTTTAAAAAATTTTAAAAATTTTAAATAATGAATTTTATATCATATTATTTTAAAACTCTGAAATTTGTCATTAAAATTTATAACTACTAATTATTAATAAAAAATATTTTTTTTATTTAAAATACTTGCAATTTCTTAAAAGTATTTTAAAAATTATTATTTAATTTTAAAAAGAAAAATTGGATTTTTATTAAATAACTTATGGTTTTATTATATTTTAATATATGATAATAAAATATAATTGTTATATTATATAGTGTTACTTATTTATTATCAACCTTCTGCATATCGAGCAGAAATAATAGCTGCAACCATAGCCATAGCTCTGGGCAGACCCAGACTACTTATCACAGTTGAAACGGACTCCTCTTCACTCATAAGTGAATACAACTCCTATGTAGAAGACAACACAAAGAAAATTAAAGAATTGTGATTAATCAGTAACCTTTGTACCATAGCAAGACATTATCAAACCCTCATTCAATGGATCAAAATGAACAAAAAAAAACATCCAGATGACCATTCCTTCATTGTAGCAAATAGACTCACCAAACAATATATCACAAACAACACAATGGATATTCAAGGGCAACTCAGTAATGCTATTCTCTGTACAAACATCATTATCTTCCACTACCGAAATTAAACTGAACTCATCTTGCCTATCAGAAAAGTCATCAAGAACATATAACAAGCTCAACTGACTTACAGTTGAATTACTCTCAATAGAAACAATGACCTCTCACAACAACAGGCAGTAGACATCGACTGAAAAAAATCAACACAAAAACTTCACCCCTCTAAGCTGTCAAGTGGAAACACAGATACCTGGGATTAATTACAAAGGAGCTTCGCAATGAAACTATGAAATAAAGAACTTCCCACTATAGACAAGCTACACATCAGAAGGCCAGATCTATACAAATGCAACACTTGTTTTGCCTGCCCCCAAGTTGAAGATAACTCACACCCTTTCAAATGCTTCTCACATGGAATCGACATCAAAACAGTAATCCTCAATACCATATATTGGGAAATAACTGCAAGATTGGAGAAAACTACTGAATGTAATATCCACTAGGAACTCACATCAGTCATTACACAAAACAACATGTGAAATAAACTCATTTTGGAAGGGATTAGTAAAAACATCATCAAGACCATTAGCAAGTATATTAAAACTGATCGAATATTAGAAACCATCAAAAGCATCATAAATGGTGTCAGATTCTGGACATACAATATATGGTTAGACAGGTGTAACTGTTTCCATCGATGAGAAAAACAATAGGGCATCACCACAAATAGCAAGCGAAGGACGAAAAAACAACAAACAAAGAACAGTAACAAAATACAACATGACACTCCTAACTCGAAAGAAAACCCTATCGAATTAATCAATAATATCCTCAAGGGAACTCATAGCATTTATGAGATATATAAGGAACATGCTAACGGTACCTAGGCACATTAGTCCCTATAAAGAACAATACACCACAAGGGTTTGAAAGTCCAAGCCCCACTGCCAATGGCGGCAGGTATTCCTGAATCAGATAACAATTGGTTTTCTTGTAATCATATACAATAGACATATGAGAAAAATGTCTATGCTATTGTTTATATAGAACAAAGTAACATGTATTTATATAAAACTTCAATAAAATGGGCTATATTGCATGTTTAAAAAAAAAAAAAAAAAAAATTTATTATCAACTTATTATTAATCTTAATAGTCTTAATAAAATAATAAAATATTAGTTTAAATTATTATAAATATTATATATAATATTAATATTCCTATAATTGTATTTATCTAATTATTAGTGAAATAATAAATCACTTCTAAAGTTGCACTTAACATAATAATAGTCAAGATGAATAAATTAGTTAGAGATTTAACTTTAGTATTACATTGATATATAAAGTCTATAAAATATTTAATAAAACATATGTAACTAGTCTGACAAAGAGAAAAAAAAATTAATATTCTTATAATTAATCTTAGAAATTTTAATTTAAAACAAGTTTGTTAATAAAAGATTTAGTTTAACTTAAATTCTTTATTTTTATTTTTATTTTTTTTCAATACTAATACAACCTTGTTTTATTTAAATATAGTAAATATTATATATATATAATATAGATAAACTACTTCTGTTTTTCAAGTAAAATATTGATAAGGAAAAACCTACTTCATGACTTTGTCATCCTTTTTTTGAAACAAAAGAACTAGTAAAGAATCTACTAGTGCAAGAAAAATTAAGAAAAAATCTATAATGGTTGTGTTCATATTTATATGTTCCTTAGATTTAAATCTGATTAGTTATAATGTTACTTTAACTACTATAATTTTATCTTTTAAGCTATATTATAATTACAAATAAAACTATACAAGATTAAATAGGGGAGAAGACTCTATATATAATTAAGAAGGCACTGGTAGGAAAAGGGAATTGGTCTTGATATGAAGTAATTTGAAAGTTATATTACTATTATCACTTTTGTACTATCAATTAGTTACTTTTCAAGAACTTCATTAATTTAAGTTATAATATTTTTTCTTCAACTACTTTCAATACAACTATATTGTAATTTCTTGTTTCTCAGCTTTGGTTTTTTCTTTTGATTTTCACCTTACTTTATCTACTATGTAATTTTGATAATGTTCTTTTAGATGATTATAGATTGAAGATTATAAGGGATTCTAGGATATAGGAAAAAAATAGTTTGATAATACTGTCAGGGTATCTTTTCTTGGGCTATATAAGTGCTGAAAGAGAGAAGTCCATTATCCAATAACCTATTTTTCTTTACTATTGCAATGGTTCTATCCTAAAAAAAAAAGTTTTGACATATCTAACTTGTGCTTTATTGGATTTAATAGATATTATGTTGTTTTTCTCAAAATACTACTATCTTGAGAAGTTAAGCCATAAATTTTTTTTTTAGACTACACATTGGTTCTACCTTTTGGTTGATATAAACAACAAATCTTTTAACCTATCAATTTAATACTTCTAAAAAATAGGCATGACACTTTTTAGGTATTATTCTCTTTCTATATATTCTTGAGTTTTGTTATAGATATAATTTTACTTGATAGATTCATATAATATGTTGTTGGAATTCTTTTTTGATCAAGGCATCAATATAGAAGAGACTGTGTTCTATATCCATCTATACTATAGCCTAGTGTCTTAAGGTGGATCCTAGATTCTTATGGAACTAAAGAAATATATTCAGATATGTGAGATGATCAATAAGGACTTGTTTATATTTTTTTATTGACATGTTTTCTACTAACCAATCACTGCTTAAGAAACATTGTGCTACATAAAATTCAGGATCAAACTAAGGTAAGCAAAATTTCTTAAAAAAAAATCAAGAAAGAATACTTTTAGAACAAGTATATGACAAGAGAGTGAATGATTATTTTCAAGATAAATAAATCTCTTATCATTAAAAAAGTTCTGTGTTATTTCTCTAATAGATAAATAGATAACAGCACTTCAGTTCTTCTTCCTTTTAGAACTTTCTTGCTATTGATAGAAAAGATGTATTTATAACTTTGATTACTAAAAATTAGATTTTTGTTTGAAGAAAATGTTTACAAAAAAAAGAAGGAGATAGATATGACTCTTGAAGTGTTATTTCAAGTTGATTTAAAGAAAGTGGTAAGATTTTATTAATCAAGAAATATAAAAATTTCTTTCAAATGTCTTTTTTGTGTGAATCAGTGAAAAGAGTTGACTTAAATTCTTTATATATAATACTTTGATATTTAATTAAAATTTCCGAACTTGGTGATATTATATAATCAGGAAATCACATGAACCAAGTAGTTCAAACCTTCGGAACTTGCATATTTGAAACAACGCAGAATGCCTAGCGGAATGCCCCTGAAGCCTGGCGTCGACCAGCAAAAGTTTTATGAACGTTATAACAGACGAGCAACGAAAAAAGTGAACGAACTACAATATAACCGACTTCGCTCACCCAGGGGAAGATTATACACGGCACTTTGTATAACCCTTTCTGCAGGTGAGCTCTTTTAGAAGTTGTTGCAAGATCTCGCTTCATTTAAACATAGGTTACTAATCACGATTTAGTGGCGGGAGGCTATGTTGTTTTTTATTCAGACTTTGGAGAAGAAGAGCATTGTTTTACTTCTGTACGTGCTTTCTTCAATTTTAATTCGACATATCTGGAATCTCTATTAATTCGATCAATATCTTTAAAGTTACGAGCATGGTATGCACGTAAACAGGCCGAGTTCTGGACGTTGAGCGAAAAGGAGAAACAGGATTTGAAAAGTCAAGGAAAACTGTGAAATTGAAATAATGCCGACATCTATGGTGACGATAATTGACGCATTCTAATTAATAGTACAATTTCGTTGATTTCTCTAATTTAAATTTTTTAAATATCTCTATATGTATTGTATATAATAGGTTATGGTAACAGAGAATGCTGTTCGCCAATCAAGTGCCCCACAAAACATTTATTCAGCATTAATTCATAATTCACCCAAGAATGTGTTTGCACTTTTTTTAAATCAAAAGGATATAAATATGTCGGTCACATGAGAACAAAAATTGTGGCAACGAAGGAACTTACTAAATAATTTCGTTCCATCTCTGCCCGCAGCCCGCATCAATTCACTCTCACCTGTGTTTTAACGCATATAAAAAGTTGGACCTTTTCAATAAAGTAACGAGACTGATCGAAAATTAAGTAAACTGACATACATACCGCCAGGATGAAATTTGAGATACGGCGTGATAGTGTAGATTTTGCCGTTCAATGCTGTCCAAGCGTCATCCTTTGTTCTATGTTGCCTTAATTCTTCAAGTGTATATTTTCTTATTTCCGTAACTCCCTGTAAAGCAAGAAAAGAAAAAAAAAAAAAAAAATACTAATCTTCAATAAAGGACAATCGAGTTATGTTATTTGATGGGAAGGTGTTATCGATATTGACCCCCAGATCAACCTCTAGCCTTGCCCAGTCCAAAGGTGAATGACCCGGTTCTAAAGCAACCTTTTTTCGCAATTTGTTGGCTTTTTCAAGTGGCTTCATCTTCTTGCTAGTCGTAGATAGCGAATTTGAAGACGAAGACGATTTTGCACGTTGTATACCATCAATGAGCGGGAAGGTCGGAGGATCATCATCATCTACGGTCAGATTATTACAAATGGTTACTTGGCTTGATAAATTTCATCGAGGAAAAAGCGTACCAGCATTACTAGATACTTCTACTTTTGGTGTTGGATTTGTCGGAACAGCGAAAACACTAGTTTCAACAGCCAGTGCTGGTGAAACTCGAGTATGTTGAAGGTCTCCGGTGATCTCATTCTCGACAGAGTTTTGTTCTTCTTTATTACCAAAAATGCTTGAAAAAAACTTCGAAGGATTCGGAAACATTATTTAAACTATTGCGTATGACTTCGGTCGAACAGAATTTGGTGCAAAATTGGATTCTGCATGTATTTCTGCTTGTGTCCAATTTAAGCATACCACGTTTTTGATTACGTATTTACATATATGTGTATTAAAAATTTTCCGCTGAACAACTCTCACTTTTAACATTTAATAGATATGTGGTTGTCAGATACACAAAGTATGCAATTCTTCGCAACCTTCCAACTTTAAACATTGAAAATAAAATCTTTCCCGCTTTCATTTTAAAGGGTTAAACATAATTGTTTAATATTTAGAGATCGGAGTCGGATTAACAGCCTTCGGAACCTTTTTTATATTTCTTGGCATCATACTTTTCTTCGACGGAGGTCTATTAGCCATAGGAAATGTACGCTATTGCCTTCTTTTCCATCATTCTTTCTTGTGCCATTCATTCAAATTATTCAAGGCACATTTTAAATCTTTTGAAATTTCTTTCTATAGATACTCTTCTTGTCAGGAATAACTCTCATCATTGGCCTCAATAAAACCCTCACGTTTTTTGCTCGGAAAAACAAGATTCGAGGAACACTCTGTTTCTTTGGGGGATTCATCCTGGTTTTCTTCAAATGGCCAATCTTGGGCATATTCATCGAACTATTCGGATTCTTAAATTTGTTTGGGTATGTGTTCGTTTTTTTTTTTTTTTTATTGATCGTCTATTTGATGGATAATTTTCCTGAATCATTGGAGTAATAGATCTAATCAATTTAATTCCCATTAGTGACTTCTTCCCCGTTGTCGTTAGTTTTCTCCGAAGATTGCCAATTATTGGAAACATATTAAGTGCACCGGTTCTATCTCACGTATGTATTTTCAATCGCATTCTTTTGCCTGACGGCTCTTAACCCATTTACCTGATCATATTTGCATAAACGTAGGCCGTCGATAAGATAACCGGTGCAAAATTACCGGTATGAAAAAGCTAAATGTTTTCCATTAAAACTTTTAACCCATCCTATTAAGGTGTTCCCTGATTTTTCCTTATATATTTTAATAATATTTAAAATTACATTCACAATAATCTCACAAGATAGTAGGTGTTTAAAAAAAGAACATAAAAAATATTACCATATTTTATGGAATTAGTTTAATGAGGTGCTTGATGAAACAGATAGGTCCGAGAATATCTAGGTTTCCTTATTTGTAAAATTAAAAATTTGATAATTATTATTTCTTAGATTGAATTAATAACGTTTTCTGATAAATATGTACCGCGGGCAGGTACCAAAAAAAAAGAAGAAAAATAATAATAACAAAAAAAAAAATAAAAATAATAATAATAACGAGACTTTAATTCTTGTGCATGTCTTAAAGGAATTTACATGAATACTTATAGCAATCTCTTGCTATTGTCCTCTTTACCTTTAATCCTCGATTTTTTTGTTTGGATAACTTCCCAACACAGTCAAACCAATACAGTATTCGTTTAACTCCTCCAAAGACTTTCTCACTTTATCATCATCTTTGTGACCTTGAAATTCAACGAAAAATACATAGTGCCAGTGCCTTTGTAAGGAAGGTCTCGAATCGATCTTTGTCAAGTTTATGTCGTTGTCCTTGAAAATTTTTATGCCATCACATAAAGCACCGGATTTTCTGTGATCCACCGTGAATAATATTAAGGTTCGATCGTTTCCCGTTGATTTGTTTGATGAATTTCCAAGGATGAAAAAACGCGTTTTATTCCCTGTTCAAAGGGAAAGAAAATAAATTTGTGATTGTAAATCTTTAATCGCACGGATACGAGGAAACAACGCACCTCGCAAATCCTGAATGCCCCTTGCCAGCACATTCAACCCATACAACTCCGCACAAGTGATGCCGGATATGGCTGCTGAGTCTGGATCTGAAGCCGCCAGTTCCGCAGCTCGGCTTGTGGATGATGCATCAATGCAATGGACGCCTTTGAGATGTGTGTTAATCCACTTCTTGCATTGCCCGAATGCCTTGAGAGAAATTATTTAATTGTTATGTCTAGGCATGCAAATTCCTTCCGAGAGGAAAACCAAAAAAAAGATAATGTCGACGTACAGTACCTGTGGATGACTATAGACTTTTCTTAACGATTCGAGATTTGATTTCGAGAGAAGATTGTGGTTCACCTTTACAATTTTACTGGAATCTTATGACTTGGTATATTTAAAATAGGAAAGGTGTGTTGATGTGATAATTCTATCGCACCTCTAAATAAGTTTCGTCAATAATTCGAGTCTTTGATGAGATAAGCCGGTCCAAGGTGGTTACCACGGATCCGAAGGTTGAATTCTCGAAAGGTACTACACCATACGTTGAGCGACTCTCTTCCAAAGACTTAAAGACGTCTGGATGAAACGATTATTTCAATATTTTTGTTCGAAAGGAAAAATTTGAAACCAAAAATCGTGCTTTACCATCGATTGTTTCCAGAGGCTGATAAATTACATTATCGCCGAAATTCTCGAGGGCAGCCTGTAAGAAATGCGATTAATTGGTGCTTGCTTGTGTAAAAGGTCTCCAGGCATACCTGGTGTGTGTGTGACCCGGCAGGACCAAAATATGTTATGATAGGTTTTTTTTGCGAAGACATCTGTTAATGTGAAAATTAAAGCCCTTAGGGGGCAGCAATAATCTAAATATTTTGTTTCAAGTTTGATTTCAAGTTTTTTATACAAGACTTTGAGACTTTTTCTTTTCGAGATACCGTATACTGTCAAGCTTTAATTTCCAAAGTTATCTTTTTAATAAAACCATTAACAATAACGATAAATATACAGTATACTGTAATTTACTAAATGTGTAATAAAAAATTTTATATTCGGGTGATCATTGGTCAAGATCGTCTAACTTTTAGGACGCGTTTGATCAGACATTTTAGTAAATTCTACTTTTTCGAATCCGTCGCTAATGGGTATCCAATGTCTCCTTCAATCTCTTAAATCGATACAGACGAATGTTTCCATTGCGAAGTATTCTGGTATGACGGTTGGTGTGGACGCATATTGTTGGCTTCATAAGGGTATTTACACGTGTATGAATGAGCTGGTCTTAAACAAGCCTACCACAAAGTGCGCGTTTTCATCGGTAACCTTCTCCTGTCTCAATTAATTAATGCAGAGCTAACGAATTCTCTTGTAGATACGTGGATTACTGCATGAAGCGCGTACGAATGTTGAAGAATTATGATATTCGTCCGTTCATAGTTTTTGATGGTGGATTATTGCCGGCGAAAGACCATGCGGAAGTAAAACGTCGACAGTAAGTGAGGAGTCCTTTTGAATCCTATTGATTTAAACCACCGAATCAAGGTAATGTAGGATGCCTTGGTTTTAAAAAGAAAACGCGAAAAATATCGCATTCTAGGTCGAGAACTCTTTGAGAAGGGATGCGTCCACGAAGCTATGAATTTTTTGGAGAGATCTGTTGACGTTACTCCGGAAATGGCATACAGATTCATCCAAGTAATATTTTAATTTTTAACTTTTTTTTTTTGATATTTTCTGTTCATCGACAAAAACCTTCTTTTTTTTTTTTTTCTTGATTAATCGCGTCGAATAGGCCTTGCGAGATGAAAAAGTGGAATATATGGTGGCACCTTATGAGGCGGATGCCCAATTGGCATATCTTGAAAGGAAAAACCGAATTCAGGCCATAATCACGGAAGATTCTGATTTGCTTGTGTTTGGTTGCAAGACGGTGTGTTTGTCCTTTGACATCGACGCCCTTGAACAAAGGTTCCAACATGAACTTACCATTCCACAAAAATTGACAACAGGTGATATACAAGTTAGACTCGGATGGAAGGTGCATCGAAATTTGTCGGGACAATTTTGGAAAAGTGCGAGAGATAAACATGATCGGTTGGACCGACGTGCAATTTCGTCATATGACAATGCTGTCCGGTTGTGACTATTTGCCATCAATTGTCGGAATCGGACTCAAATCCGCTTACAAGTATATAAAGAGATACAGAACTGCGGACAAGGTGAGAGAAATGATCGTTAAATTGGCGTTATATGTTAAACAAATTTATGGGAATTCTTTATTAGGTGCTGATGCTCTTACGAGCTGAAAGAAGATTGGAAATACCGCCAGATTATTTAGCTAATTTTAAACGAGCCGAGTTGGCATTCCTATATCAACGCGTATTTGATATCGATACTCAACGCTTGGTAACACTAAATCCAATTCCCGAAGGGTTTAACATCACGCAAGATAATGAATACATTGGACCGTATCCTTATTCGTGATATGAGAGAACGTCGATAACCCAATGCTACTTCGAGATTACTTAACGATCACCTGAATAAACATTAATTAGGGATCTTGATCCTACCGTGGCCGCTGGCATCGCGACTGGCGATCTCAACCCGCTCACCAAACAACCCATGTCAGATATACCAAGGTTAGAAGAAACCGTGGCGTTCAAGGAGGTGGTAATGTTAATTATTCAGTCGGTAATAAGAGTGGGTTAGGCTAACATCTTATTTTGAACTTTTAAATAGGGAGCCGATTTCGGCTTAGGGTTCTATAATGAAACGGTTGATGGGGAATTGCACTCAAACGCAAATTGGTATTCGGTCATCCCTGATTCCTACGAAAAACAAAATCAAGTAGCTTTCCAGGTAACTGATTGACAGTGCGTAATACGATGATAAGTGCGTGCTTAATTTAATTAATATCCTGATGAAAAAATTTTTTTTTCGTATTACGTACATCGTGAAGCCACTTGCAGGGGGTGACTTGCCCGAGGTATGATTAAATTGAGGGATCACGTGTCGATCTCGAAATGAGAAACGCGTAGACATGTCAAAATGTCACCTCACTCTATGATAATAATGTAAATAGGACTTAACTTACGGATAAATTTATGTTTCCTAAAAGTAGGTGTTGAATAAAGCTAATGATAGTTCGATGATGCAAACTCCTAATGAGCGATATTTTGAAGAAATGTTTATCGAATCAAAGATTAAGTTAATGAATCACGTGGAGAACGGAGCGCGAGATGCAAATTATCCGATAAACAACGTCAAGAAATATTTAAATCAAAGGCAAGAATGTTATTCTGAAGACGCTATGGAGGGTAAACGAGAACCATATACTGTGTATATATGTGTATATCGTGAAGCGTGATACTGATGAGTATTAATTATTTCTCCTAGAAAACTTAAAACGAGTTGTGGACGGTTGGGCGAAAAAATATTCTCGAGCGCATTAGGTAAATTAAAAAGTTGATCGGTTGGATTTACTTGGTCACATGCAATGTACTGCCACATTAAAAAGACTTCCCCAGTTAACGTAAATTGCACATGATTGGTGCGACTATAATTCATAAATGTATAAATACACCCATTATATGTTTTGTTCACTTTACACACATGGCGATGGGCAAAAGGAAGGAGCCAGAACCTCTCAGAGCTCTCGTCACTAAAAAAAAACGTGGTAGCATTAGCGTCAATAAAACCGGAAGGGGTGGTGGTAGCGGTGCGATACGCGGTGGTGGAACTAGGGGTCGAGGCAGTAGAGGAATTGGTGGTCGTAAACCAAGCATACCTCGTCAACATCCCTCCGGTGTCAAATTCCAAGAGATACCGGAAGGTGCAGGTCTATACTCAGCTGCAAGCACACCGGCATCGAGTACCGCACCCTCGACACCTCGTGAATCGTTCGTATCCTCTGTTCCTCAGACACCGGGTGAAGAAATAGATCAATACATTTTACGTGAAGAAGAAATCACCGATCAAGATTTAACGAGAACGAATAAGGACAGCGGTATCAGGACCGAAGGTGAGGAGGAGGACGACGACGACGACGAACACGAAATAGGCGCGACGGACGAGAACGATTGGAAACAGGCTCAATTGCGTTCACGAACATATGAACAACATAAGTGCGTTTTATTTTTCACATGTATCACGCCTCCCTCTCTTTTTTTCAACGCTGCGCTGATAATTTCTTGTTTATTAGCATGTTATTGAAAGCATTTTCACCGGAGCAAACAGAACGGTTCGAGGTGTACAGACGTTCTGCCTTGAGTAAGCCAAACATCAAGAAGGTAAAGTCATGTGCCAATTTGACCTCTGAATTTAAGCTCACCCTCACCCTCTACTCGTGAAACAGCTTGTGAGTAGCATTTTAGGTTACTCGTGTACGAATAATATTTCAATCGTGGTGGCCGGATTTTCAAAAATTTTCATCGGAGAAATCACCGAAAAAGGTAAAGTTGGAACATGATTTTATCAGTAAAATTTTTAAATATGTTAACTTGATTCTCCTTTTATTCTGACTTCTCAATCTTGGAATGAACAAAGCATTGGACATTAAAAGAGAGTGGGGATCTGAGGGGCCATTATCACCTGAACATTTGCGGGAAGCATTTAGGAGATACAAAAAAGAAAAAAATTTTACTATACACAATTTTCAAAGGAAATTACTTCTTCATTGATGTGGACGACCTCTATTCTTTTTTAATAATAGTTTCAACAGTATGCCGCCACATTCCCATTATCACATGGTAGTAACATCAAATTACCCAAATGCATCTTTTCATTACGAAGATGTCTTCTCGGGCTCTTCATTTTCTTCGCTTAGCGGGAATATTTTTGTCAACGGTGTGCTAACAGTAATTAACAACGAGGGTTGAGATCTAACATAGAATCATTGATATGTATCTATAACTTAATTTTTTTTTTTAAAGGTTACTCACTCTCTCAACTCCCAAACATCCAAAGAACTTTTCATCTTAGTATACTTTTCTTCCTTTTCCGCCTCCCGTTCTAATATCACTTTCTGCATTTTAGAATAGACGCAATGAATCTATCTACACGTGTATACTTGATCGATGCACCTTAGAAACAAATGCTCTCACCTTTCGTTCCTCTAAACTCTTGGATTTCATTTTAAAACACCACTTCACATTATTCCAATGCCTCGAGCAGTCCTTCCTTTCACCATATCGATAATAATTTGTCGCCTGACCTCCCACAGCTTTTTTTAGATGGAATGAACTGGTTAATAAATTAGAAGAAAAAAAAAAACAAAAAAAATTTTTTTTTCATACCTACAAAGACATAACATCAGATAATCGAATTCGTTTCTCAAACTACAGTTCCATCTGTCATTGTCATAATTCGTGGATTGGGAATCACCGTCTTTCGTATTATCAGTGTTTTCCGAGTTAGGTGGGATGTGAGCCATCATTGGACGGAGTGGAAAATCCACATACTGTATATTTATAACTGATACCATCCACGTGACGCGTACGCTAGATTGAAACGTGACGTCGCTCGCTCAAAAAAAATTCGGTTTGAAAATGACATCACCATTTTTATGAAAAGAATTACGTATTGTAAACTTTATTGATATTATTAGACTAGCATTACACACATGGTGTTGTGGTTTTACAAGTTCTACTTCGATTCTTGGCAAAATGATTGATAACCTTCTTTATCTAATAAGTTTTCTAACTCGGTTGGCTTGGATAATTTAATTTTGCACAACCAACCTAGATTTCAATGCAGTAAGGTGAAAACGGGTACATCTGCGTTGCTTTAAAAAAGAATATGCAAATTACCTTCATCCTCCGGACTCTTGTTTATTAATCCAGGCTCGGTTGTTAATTTTGTATTAGCTTCGAGCACCTCTCCACTAACCGGAGCATAAAGTTCACCAGCCGCTTTCACACTCTCTAAACAACCGCAACGTCCTTAGAAAAATAGATGCGTACAATTAGATATATTTTGATAAGGAAGTTGACTTTCGAAATTCGGCGTCGGAATATTACCAAATTGCTCAACACTCGATCCCACCTCGGGTAATTCCACGTAAACAACGTCTCCAAGCGAATTCTGTGCATAGTCTGTGATACCAACAGTTCCTAGGTTATCTCTAACGTCAATCCATTCATGATCTTTAGTATATAGTCTATCTAATATGTGTTATCCAATCCAAAATGTTAATAATATTCCTCCGACACACTCGAAAAACAAAAGGTGAGATGAAAAAAACAGACTGCTTTTTTCTTGGTCACGTACTGCTACTACTACTGTAGGCCCTAAGCGATAGCGTGATTCCGGAACGAGTGAATACACTTCTAAAATTAGGAACACATGCTACTTTGGACGACAGAGTGCGAAAAGTTGCTGGTGAAAGCATGGTAATTGCTAGGGTTTATATTGAAAATTTTTTCCGCGTTAAGTATGGGTGGCTTATGAAGACGAATGTGATGCGATCTTATTTGACGTGGCGTGCGTGTCACATCCTATATTTTGTTTCTTTTTTTATAAAAATCACAAAAATCATTACTTAAAACTTTTTTTTTTTTTGAATTCTTTTTTATTTTTTCAGAGTTTTTATATATAACTTTTATATAATTGATTATGAAATTTTATATTGATTTTAAAGATACTTTTTAAAACTTTTAACTTTGTTTATATATTATAAAGATTTGTATTTTATAACTATATTTTTTTAATTTAATTTATTATTTTTTTTAAATATTTGTTTATCTATATCTTCTTATATTATTAATATATAGTATTTTAAAATAATTTTTTTTTGAAAATCAAGCATATCATCATATCTATATAATTTATGATATTTTTGATACTGTATATCACAAAACCAATAAACTGGTTTAATAATTCAAGTATATTATTAATAATACATAAAAATCTATAAAAGAGTTTCAATTCTTTGCCATCAATTTTAATTAGTATCAATTTCATAAATTTTTATAATATTTCTATTATATTATTCAATAAATTAAATTGAATTTATAATTTATAATTTATAATTTATAACTAAATCCACATAAAACAATTATATTAGGAAAATTTTTTGACAAAAATCTTCAAGATTTATAAATATAAAACTCCAGAGGTACTATATCATTATTAGAAGTCTCCGAAGTGGAGATTTATATATAGAACTTTAAAGATTTTTGAATATTTTAAATTATAATAAAATAATTTTACATTATTATTAAAATATTTATTTTTAAAAATTTATT